CCCTAGCATATCACTGTCATGAGGTTTTGTCCCCTCACTTTCCTCCCTAGAGTTAACATCTCGCCTCAGTTGTATTTCAGCTCCGGACCCAGAAAAGAAACAAAACTAGACCAGCGACTCCATGGCTGCCCTCAGGACCAGCTGCATTGAATAATGACCCCTAGCAGCCTTGGTGCTGACCAATCAATCAGTGGAGATGGGACCCTGAAAGGACACACCTGGAAAGCTGCTGATGTTCTATTAAGATCTTACCCTGGGAATTAGTGTCCTGATAAGAGAAGATTAGGACACAGACACCCAGGCAGGGTCAGCCACCGGAGGACACAGGAAGGAGCCAAGGAGAGGCCTCAGGAGAAACCAGCCCTGCTGACACCTTTCTCCTTGACTTCCAGACTCCGGATATGGGAGAGAACCTCTGTTTGAGCCGCCCAGCTGGGGTAGTTTGTCAGGGCAGCCTCAGTGAGCTAATCCACTCCCCAAACTCCTGAAACTAATACTCTGCTCTCCAGTGGGGCTTTGCTGGCTCTAGCCTGTCTTGACCAACCTACTGCTGACCAACCACCTACTGCTTCCCATTTTCCTGACCTGACTGTGGCCCCTTCAAGAGCAAGGGCAAGCCTCAATTTTAAGTCATCAAACACTTTTTTGGAAAGGGCCTGATAGAAAAGACTGTAGTCCAGCTGGTATGGCAGTGGTTGAGCATCAACCTATCAACCAGGAGGTCCTGGTTTGATTCCCAGTCAGGCACATGCCCGGGTTGCAGGCTCGATCCCAGTGTGGGGCCATACAGGAGGCAGCCAATCCATGATTCTCTCTCATCATTGATATTTCTATCTCTCCCTTCCTCTCTGAAATCAATAAAATATCTATATATATAAAAGCCTAAGCGACTGTTCGACCATTTGACCTTTCGATCGGTAACTATGACACGCACTGACCACCAGGGGGCAGACGCTCAATGCACAGACATGGAGGCATGGAACAGACTGATGAATCTCAGAGGGAAGGGGGGTGGGGGGAGGGCAGGAAGAGAGTAATCAAAGATCTTATATGCATACTAGAGGTCCGGATGCATGCACCGGTGGGGTCCCTTGGCCTGGCCTGCACCATCTCGAAATCTGGGACCCCTCAGGGGATGTCGGAGAGCCAATTTCACCCAAATCTCACAGGCCAGGCCAAGAGACCCCACCAGTGCACGAATCTGTGCACTGGGCCTCTAGTGTGTGTGTGTATATATATATATATATATCCCGGGCTGAAGACTGTGACCCTTTCAGCCCTCTGAGCCTCCATTTCCTCATTTTTCAAAGGTCTCCTACTATGGAAGTTCTACAGAAATGCAGAATTTAGAACCAGAATAATTCAGTAATTCAGAGCAAGG